CGTCACCAACACCACCACCACCAGTAGAACCAGAAACCGAGCCAGCGTCGCTCTCCCACAAGAACGCACATCTGTCTCCAACTTCCACTTGTAGTAACACATCAGGGAGAAACAGGCGAATAGAAATGGTGGTGTTAAAAGACACCTGGGGTGCCGCGGCGGACGTGGGGAGGACAACAGCATGCTCATCCTCCAACCGTTGTTGGCGTTTTTGGTGTTGCTGTTGCTCCTCAGGCTCTTCTGTGAGTTCCCACCTTGAGCAAGGCTTAACTACAGCAGCCTCATATGCGAGCCTAGCAACAACACTCTGCAACTGACGTAGAACCTCCATGGAGAGATCCTGCAAATGCTCGACGGCGCTTCGCCGCGATGTGCCATGCATGGAAACAGCCGACCGCATTACTGCAACCGAGAACATGTCGGCATTCCACGAGTACGCCAGGTTCAACGCATCCTCCACGACAAGCGGCATTGCCACATGCGCGTCATCGACCTTTGGGGGTGTCCACAGGAGAACAATATTGGCACCCCAAAATCGCGTTGTGAGCATCAACAACAAATGACGATGATGCAGCAACGGAACGAAGCATGGCGACTCCCCAGTGGGCGCAGCGTCCTGCAGGAAAAGCTCTGCAGACGTGGAGGATAGAATAGACGCCACCTCCCTTTGTGCGCCGATGAGCAGCAGCACCGAGTGCGTCTGCTGCGACAGGCGTAGTAGGTGCTCCTCCACTGCAGGCGCGGTGTCGTGCTCCTCAGCGTAGATGCAGTGGAGACACATTGGCAGAAACGACAACGGTGAGATGTCCACTACAACAGGCCGCAATAGAGTGTCCTTTAAACGCAAACACTCAATTTCGTGCCGCAGCAAGTTCGGCAGCTCCACCATCCGCACAGGCACAGGTGAAGGTGCGAAGTGTGCAATGCTACTGGTGCGCTTTAATAGTTCGCCGTGCGCGCGCACGTTCCGCCCCCTGTCCCCTTTTCCAACCACGGCCATCGCTTCGGGTGCAGACGTTTTAAGAAAGGCGAGAAGACTCTGGCGAAGCTCCACTTCTGTTGCTTTCTCACGCTCAAGGTTTAGCTGCTGAAGCTCCTCTAATTCGCACTGGTGTTTCAGCACAAATCGCTGAGTGACGTCTGAGGTCACCACCATGTCGCTTGCACTCCGGTTTGCAGCCTCTAAGAGATCAGCCAACTGCTCCTCATGGCGGCTGCACAGCACAGTCATATTTTCCTCGTCCTCAGTCACGCACTGACGATACTGGGCGTTGAGTTGGATGAACAAATGAGTCGTTGCGCTTAGCAACTCACGATTTGGACTCACTAAAGAAAGAAACAAGAGCGACTGCTCGTTTCTACTTGTTCCAACAAGACGGTATCGGCGAAGGAGCGTGTACTCCTGGCGATTAAGGCCACACACAGGCGTCAACATTGTGCCAGTTGATTCGGTTCGTTTGGTTGATTCTGCAGGGACCATGAAGGTCCTCCACGAGTTACGAAGATCAACACATTCGTCGTCGGCCTTATCCGCCTCGCGCATTGCTGTTCCTAACAGGCACGCACCCAGAGAGACGTGTGTGTGTGTGTGCAGTGGATGAAAGAGGGGAGGGGGTAAGGAGGATTCAGTTTTCTTTTCTTTTCCTCTGGCGCGCACGCACACACTCCACAATGCACGCCCATGCATATAGCAGAGCTGCTGACACGAATGTACCCACCCATATTTCCTCTCTTTATCCCCTTTAATCCCTTCTTTCGACATTGTGACCTCCTTTCTGCTTTTTTTTCTTCAATGCTGCACCCATTCACACACACACACAAACACAGACACAGAGAGAGAGGGAGAGGTCACGCACACCCACATGCGTGGGCATGTGTCTCTGGCTCTGGGAGCTGTACAAGCATCGCCCTCACTTGGTGGTAGTGTTAGCCGCGGTGGGGTACTTCTCGTGAAGCTCCCGCAGCCACGCGGCGCCCTGGGCGGCACCCTCCTCATCGTTATGGCGGCGGCACCAGCTGACGTACTTCTCACCAGTGGACACCGCCTGAGCGGCGTCGCCGACACCCTCGAAGCATTTCAGCACACTTGACAGCGTCGACTTGACGGAGTTGAAGTCGTTCTCGTCAATGTGGATGTTAAGCGCCTCAATCAGCAGATCAAGCGCCTTGCCGTACATATCCTTACCGTCGCCTCCCGACGCGACATCCTTCTCGGCAAGCCGATGATAGCACAGACCGATCCCTGTAACGATCGACCGGCGCATGTTCACAGCAGCCACTGCCTGCATCGGCATAGCCGACTTCGCATCCACGTCGATCCAGCGCAGCACCTCCGTGAAGACATCATTGGCCTTTTCTGCCCTGCCACTCTCCAGGTGAATGTAGGCAATCAACTGATTGACTTCCGCCAGCTGGGCGGCGTCCCGCAGAGCCGGGGGCGCCGTGAGCAGCGAGTTCTTCGCTTTTTCCGCCTTAGCCAGGGCCGGCGCGAACTGCTGCATGTTGTAATGTGCCTGCGCCGCCTCCAGCAGCAACAGTGTTTCACATTGGATGGGGGCATTCAGCGCACCCATCTCCCCCAGCATCTCCAACCCCTTCTCCACGGCGGCAACAACCTCGTCGTACCGCTTCCCCATGCGGGACGCGTCAATCGTCTGCGACAGATCATTCCACCGCTGCAGCGCCTCCATATCCTTCTTGACAACATCCTCGTTGAGCGTGAAGGTCTCAACATTCACGGGAGACGGGGGACCCGTCGCTGTGGCACACCGCACGCCCAGCCGGAGGGTGGCGCAGCACAGCGGACGCCACGAAGGGAGAGCCGCTCGCCGCAACAACATCTACACACACGCACACACGACAATGCGCTGTTTGGAACACATGGACAGGCACAAGCGAAACAACAAGAAAAAGAAATGGCAAGCAAAGACAAAAGAGCATACCGAAAGGAAATCAATGAGGGGCAGGGGGGGAAGTGATATTGCTAAAATAAATATAAATCGGAAGAAAAAAAAACACGCACAGATAAAAAAAAAAATATGCCGCCACAGGCGTGGACGAAAAGCTGGGTCACAAGTAAAGTAAACCACACACAAATCGGTGACGTTTGGCCCAATCCAAAGACAAAAAAACAACAACAAAAAGAACCCACACTATTAAGGCGAAACAAAAAGAAAAGGAAACACTCGTGCAGGAACTTTCATTCCTTTTCATTTCATTGATCGGTTCTTCAGTCTGCTTCGCCCCTTGACTCTACTCCAGACGCCAGAAAAACACTGCAGCTTGGCCTATCAGGTTGGACCGGACGCAGCAAGGCTTGTTGTAATTATTTTTGAATGAGCACCTACTCCCCCTCTGAAGCGGAGTCAGAGCCACCCTCTGCTGAAGCTGTTGAGTCTTTTTTCTTCGCTATCTCCTCTTCCCTCTCCCTTGACATTTTTTTTTCTATCAAAAGGCACGTCCCCTCCCCCCGTGCCTTATCAGGCAAGCAATCCAACACACGCGCACACAATGTCTCCTGCTCATTTAGTCATGTTGTCAGATGAGCATGCGCGGGCCCTTTGCGGCGGCGGCTTTCGGCGGCACTGGCCGCTCCGCGACGTCGTTCCCCATGCTGTCGAGGACGGCGTCCTCAACGGCGCTCTTTAACTCATCGGCACTGTCCAATTCGAGCCGCCGCGCCAGCACTACACCGTGGTGCTTCGCCTGTTCCACGAACGAGGACTTGGAGGACGAGTACAACATCTTCTCCCGCGGCTTGGCAGTGCTGGGGCAGATGTAGACCATTACCGTCTTCGCGGCGTCCCCTGCCGGGCAGCGCAGCACAACGAAGCGTGGCTTGTCTGCCGGGACGAGGCCTTTCACCGCGTCAATGACGCTCGACAGAGACGACACCCCATCCTTGCTCGGCAGTGACTTCTCAGCCACAATGTTTTCGGCCTTTACGGAAAAGGTCACCGCCGCCAGCTCGCCGCAGCGCAGCTTCTGCAGCAGCTGCACACTCTCATCGTCGAGCGGCATTGTCACGCCGGGCATCGCTACAGGCGCAGGCGCCAGTTCCATTTTGTCCATGACAACGCGTAGCTTCTCTTTCTCTGTCATGAGCTCCGCACGGCTGTTGGCGGTTTCTTTCGCTAAGAGTGGTAGCGCAATGTCCTGTACACGCACCGCATGTTCCTTCCTCAAATTCTTCAGGCCCGACGCCTCTGCGAGGTGACCGGCGCCAGCCGCATATAGCATCCGTACCTTTGGCTTGATGCCCTCGGCGCAGTACGAGACCTGCGCGAACTCGCCCTCTTGAAGTTTTATAACAATGAAGGCGGCCGGAGTCTGGTCGGCGGTGAGGCGCTGCTGGACCTTGACGAGGTCGTCACTCACGTTCGGTGTCGCCTCAATGGGCTTCCCGTGCAGCCGCATCACCTCGTTATCCACAGTGACGATGAGGGCGCGTATCGGCGCGGACCCCTCACGGAAAGATTTGAAGGCTTCCTGCAGGGGGGTCTCCAAATTGAAGTTAACTGTCAACATTTCCGATATGGTTCTTTTTGTTTTGGTTTATCGTACTCTGGCTTTCTTTTTGCTTCTTTTTGCCTCCTTGGGGCCTTGAATATCAGTCTTTTTCTTTTTTGGCTCTTGCCGCTCTCCAGCCCCGTGGATTCAGAGAAAATAAACACACACACACACACACAGAGAAAACCCAGAAAGAAAAAAAAAGCCAAAACGAGCAGAGCGCACAAGGAGGAAAGGGTCGTGGCCGCCTCTGTATGCACACACGGCAATCGTATTCGTTGCCCGGTGCTGTCTGCACCAACACACATCGGAGAGGAGAGGGAGAGAGGATAAGTGAGACCATCGGGATCTTCACCAAACAACAACAACAACATAATAACAAAACAGCAGCATCGGAAACAGATTCCCATGTGATCAGAGCAGCCCCACTTCACGCGCAGCGTCCACCAAACGCTGCCGTATCATTGTAATGACCTGACTAAATGGGCTCATTGGTCCATAGCTCAACACACAGTTATCCACCATCTGCTCTAGCACATCTCGGAAAGCCGTAAAGGCATCACGGTTCGTTTTTACACCAAAGGACTTGCTCCGAACCCACCGCTCCACGCTACTCAGCTCAAGGTTGGCCATGTCAAACACCGGGTACTCAAACCACTTGTTGGTGTCCACCGCGCGGAGTAAGTCGAGCAATTTCAAGCACTTGCGCTGAACGTCGGTGTAAGACGTAGCGTCTTCCTCTTTGGGAAGGGGGTTGACACCAAACATTGTCTCCTCCGGAAGCAGAGACTTCTCCGCCCAACATTTGAGCCCGCACTTGCGCAGAAAATCACCGTAATGACACCTCAGTGAGTGTTCAAAGCGCACACGGGCCGCTGTGATGCTTGCCTCCTGTTCCTGTCGCACTGAAGCACTACGTCCGTAGAGAAACACCCTTGTGTCATGCAGCGCACCGTAGAGCCCACGCGAGCGGTACACCCCGTTCGACGCTCTTGTCATTACGTCCTCGAACGTCAACCACGATGGGGCATTCGCTGGCGATAAAGCATTAGGGCCCTTCGCAGAAGAAGCAGCAACAACACGCAGGCAGTCACTATTTTTGATCTCCCTAAGTGTATTGAGAACAATCGCCGTAGCAGCGTCACCCACGTTATTCCATGCATTGCCGTCATCACGAGGACGTTTTTGTTGTGACCTCTTACTATCCTCTTTTTGCAAGACTTTGCAGGGCCATTTCTCGACCGCGAACGCCTGTGGCAACGTGCGCAGAATGCCCATAACATATCCAGCTGGCAGTTCTCGCGCTCGATCAAAGTTAATAATCAATCCCAGTAGAGTCGGCTCGAGCAAAGCGAGGCAAGCATCCACTCGGCCCTCAGTAGCTGTGAGGGCAGCTGCTGCCGCCTGCGGATCAAACTGCTGTTTCCCACTTCCGCTGTTTTGCTGCTGCAGGACATCATCATACTCCAGCATTAAGGCTCGCACAGTTGTGTAAATATCCATCAGAGAGTAGGAACGGCATAAACTGATGCTGCTTCTTCCAGTAATATTCTTGTTGTTTGGGGGCTGATTTTTTTGACTATAAGTGAAGTGGCCGGGCTTATCCATCGCGGCTACATGGCAAAGTACGGAGAGAGCCGATTTTAGTGACGCTTGACGGCGCATGCGATCATTCGCATACTTTGCAGCGTCTGGGTCCTTTTCCGTAGGCATGGCACCACTGCCGTGCTCGATGCGCTGCTGTATGAGTGCCACCAGGGCGGGGTTCGGGGTATGCGGTGGCGCTGTTGCGGGCGCGCAGCCCTCTTCCTTCCCTGGGCCCAGGTGCAGGTCTAGCGGCACCACAAAACGCCTCACGGGCTTCTGGTGGGCGCCCTCGGCAAAGATGAGGTTCATTCCTTCCTGCAGAGGGAAACGCGATGAGAGAAGGAGAAAAAAGGCAGAGAGCATCGGCAACAAGTCTGCTTTTTTTTTTGTCTTACTGATACCACCACAACCCACTATCTGTATTTCTACAGACCTTGCATGCCGAAACGACTTAAATTCATTTTCTTTTTCTTGTTTGCACCACGCTATGGTTTGATTTGACGACAGTCCTCTCGGCGACACCACTCCCCCTGCTTCTTCGGCTCGGCACAGAGCGGACAGTAGTACCACTCCTCTGTCTTGAGATACCTCTCCTTGAAGTGTAGGCCATACACTTTGCGGCGTAGCTGCATGGGGTTCTTCTTTCGCTTTGGTGTACCACCCTTACTGCCCAGCAGCGGCAGCGTCGGGCGTGCAATCGACAACGCAAATACGGTCCTCCGTAACATGTAGAATATTTCCTGCTGAACGTCTGAGTAAATAAATAATATGTATGTATGTGTGTGTGCGGGGCCTCAATGCCTCTTCACTCCCTCTCTCCCACCAGTCGGAGTTGCACACCTACTTCACTTTTGCGTCACAGCACCCTTCGTGCCGCTACACAACTGCAGACGTGCTGGTTAAGTCAACCACACGCGCCCCGCCAAGTGATATTCCCCCACTATCCCCTACTGTACAGTGTACACACAAAGAAACGGAATAACATCAGCAGCAGCATCAGGCGCCACAATTGACGGGAGCCAGAAGAGACAAGAAGAGAAACCTCTCCCACTACCCATTTCCCTACCCTTATTGTTGCTGTTTTTGGTGCATTTCATTTAATGAGTATTACGTAGTTCATGTTGTTCCTCAATTTCCTCTTCCTTTTTGTTTCTCTTCGTTTGCCTTCGTTTTTTTTTTTCCATCAGCCATTTACCGGGCTCTACGAACACGCACTCCTTTCTTCCCCTCTTCCGCTTCCGCTATATCCCTCCCCTCTCTCTCTCTCTTTCTCTCTCTCCACCCGCAAGCCGTGTTTCCCCTTCGAGTAGCTGAGTTTCAGCGAAGAGCAACGGCCACCGCCGAAAGAGCGACGGTGAAGCAAACGAATGCACAGCAGCAACCAAAGTGGCAGGCAAAAAAAAAAAAAGAAAACGGAACGAAGTGCAACAAGAACTCTTCACGCGTTTTTCTTGGACGCTAACGATGAGGTGTCGCCGTTGGCAATTCTGCCCGAATGGCCACCAGCCGCCGCCCCACGATGGTTGAAGTGCATGAAGCCCACTCCCGTATACATTATACCGTCGTAGCGCTCGAAGCAATTCTTATCAATAAGGCGTGCGCGGTTGAATGATGCCCTCTTCACATGGCCAACAATTGCAACAACAACACCGGCAAGCAACTCTACGAAAATAGGGATAGTGGAAGCGTTTATGTGAGCGGCGCTCCCCGCCGCGTGTGCGGCAATAGGAAAGTAGCTCCCGCTGCCGGCCGCCGCATCCTCGCCGCCGCTATGGTGGTGCTGCTGCAACTGTTCGCGTACGGACAACGCGAGGTAGACGCTGTGCGCAAGCAGGAGGAGGCCAATAGGGAAAATGAATTGGTACCAGGAATACATGCCGGACAACTTGCTTGACAGGGGAGAGGAATACAAAAGGGCGGGATCTGGGCACCCCTTCCTACGCAGTGCGTGCTCTCTGCGCGGGGGGGCATTTCATCAAGAGGAAAAGGAAAAAGGAGAAAAGAATAGGAAGAGGGGAGATAACAGCACGGGGAACATAGGGGGGGGGACGCATTTTTAACTGCAGCAGGTGCAGAATGGGTAGACGTCCCTCCTTTTTTTCCAACGTAACTCGTAGCAGCAACTGTACCAACAAACAGAAAGAAGCATCGCCACTCACAGCGCGTTGCAAACCAACAAGGCCACGCGCAGCCACCTTCTCACGCAAAGAGACACGGACGGATACAAATTCACCATCCCACCCACATCTCCCAAGACCCCTCCGCCCTCGCCATCACCGCCATGTCACGTGTTAGTGATATCAAGCTTGTTGAGGCGGTCGAGAATGACGGCGCGTGACACCTCCTCCACCTCCCCCGTCAATATCATCTCGTCAATGATCAGATACACCTTGTGAAAGTTGAACACAAGGTCGAGCTCGCAAACATCCTTGAAGAACATATCTAGCACCTCCACCATCAGGTGAATAAACTCGAGGTAGAGGAGGTCGTTGTCATCCTCCTCAATGCCGAAGCAGAAGAACAGCCCTGCGTAGCGGCGGTAGACAAGCTTCAGTGAGCCGTACGAGACAAAATTTGACAGGCGAGCGTCGCGGCTGTTGATGATTGCGTGCACCTCCCGCTTTATTCGTTCCCTCTCATTGTCGTCGCAGGGGACGTAGAACTTGGCGAGCCGCGTCTTGCCCATGCGGTTCTGGAGGAGGATGAAGTGTATCATTGGCCCCCCTTTGGTCAACTTTTCACTTTCGTCCTTTCTTATAGCAATCATTAGTTGTGTAGGTGCGTGGGGGTGAGGAGAAGCGATTTTACACCAAAGACAATCACACCGGCGACAAACCAAACAACAAGAACAACAAGAATAAAAATATGAATACTACTCCCTGGCCAACCATCACAGTGAGGCACACACGTGTGCACCACATACACAGACACACACACACACACAGACACAGACACACCCATACACACAAACGCACACCGGTGGTGGATGTACAAACAGAATAGCATATTTTTTTTGCTGTGTTGTTAGATTAGGTTAATTGCAGAATCACATTGAATACTCTCACCCATTTCTTCTCATTGTATTATAATATATATAAATATATATATATTATATTGCAGACACCTAGCTATGTCCTAGATCCATGCCACAAAAAAGGTACTGACTTCCGCCTCTTTTTCCCTTTTCTTGTGTCTTTTCATTCGTTCTGTTTTGTTTTCCCGTATGTTCTTTTTTTTTTTGGTTCGCTCGCATTCATGTTTGTTTTCACCTTTCGTTTTGTCCCTTCATCACGTTTTCTCCTTCACTACGGTTCACACCGGCCCATGTAGCGTGGGTAGAGGCAGGCCTCCCGCACGGAGTCGAGGTTCAGCATCCACACCAGCAACCGCTCCACGCCCAGCCCGAAGCCGCCATGCGGAGTCGAACCATACTTGCGCTGGTCCGTGTACCAGTAGTAGGTGCTCGGGTCGAGGCTCTCGCGCTTATATGCCTCCATCAGCTCGTTGTAATCCCACATACGCATGGAGCCGCCCACAATCTCGCCAACGCCGGGCGCCAGTACGTCGACAGATTCCGTCAGCGTTGGGTCGTGTGGGTCACGTGCCATGTAGAAGGACTTCATTACCGCTGGGAAGTGTGTCATGAACACCATCTCGCCTATCATCCCCACCATCGCACGCTCCGGCTGGTCGGTGATGTCTTCGCCAACTTGAAACGGTGCGTTCGTCTCAGGGTTGAGAATACCATTATCGTTACAGAACTTAATTGCATCAGTGTACTTGAGGCGGCGGAAGGGCTTTTTAGGTGCGATCTTCCAACTCTTGGGGTCGCGTGGGTCAGCCTTCGCATCCACCAGCTGGTCAGGGTTCATGAACGCAACAAGGTGGCCGACACGTTCAATTGTCTTGTTGAACGTAGCTACGATGAGGTCCTCCAGGCGCGAGAGGAACTCCTCGAAGTCGCACACCGCGTACTCCGCCTCGAGGTGTGTAAACTCGCTGAGGTGCCGCCTCGTCTTGGACTTCTCCGCGCGGTAGCTGGGGAGAATGCAGTACACATCACCCACAGCGGCGGTGCATGTCTCGAGGTACAGCTGCGAGGACTGCGTGAGGTATGCGCTCTTCCCGTAGTACATCAGATCAAAGAGAGTGGAACCACCCTCGCACTGCGTGTTAACCAGCGTTGGCGGAGTCACCTCGCACATATCCAGAGACCAGAAGTACTCACGGAACGCGCGAAGAATCTCGTGGCGAACTTTCACCGTTGTAGATCCGTATGTTCCACGAAGCACAAGATGGCGATCATCGAGCAACTTGTCTGGCGAACTTTCAGCAGTGATGACATTCTCAATGCTACCATCAGAGTTTCCAATGATGGCGTACTCCTCCACTTGCAGTTCGTACGGCGGCTGCAGCTCCGCAACTGCCTTGGGCTCGTATTTCACTGTTCCGCGAATCGCCAGAGACGTCTCGCGGTGGAATGGCTCGGTCTCTCCACTGAATACAGCCTGAATAAAACCAGAGCCGTCACGCAGCACCACAAATGAAATTCGAGATTGGTGGCGGACTCGATGTGCCCATCCAACCACAAACACCGTTGCCCCCTCCTTGCAGGACGGAATATCGCCAATACGACTAAGCTTATGCCCAGCAGCAACACACCTCCAGTCTTCCTTGCGCGGGCACTTTTGAGCCACCCCTGCAGCAGCCGAGGACTGCACAACAGGGTCCTTGTGCTTCGGCTTCTTCTCAGTCTCCTCTAGGACGACGTCCTTAATCATAGGAGGTACCACCTCCTCAATGACTTCCTTTACAATCGTAAAGTCAGCCCACTGCAGCCCTGGCACGCGCTTCATCTTGCCGAGCAGCATGTTGGGGTTTTTTACCCACGACGCCTTGAGTGTCTGTAGATTCTCTTCCGCCAGCGCCGACTTCACGAGCCCCACTGTCTCCTCACGCGAGACGACGACTCCAATGCCACAGTCCTTCTCGAACTTGGCAGCATCGAACGCGTCAGACTCCTTCATGTTGTTCACGAACCGCACTGCTGCGTCCACCTTCTGTGTGGAGTCCAGCTTGTTAGTCTTCACATAGGTGGCAACGGTATCACGGTGCTGGGGGAGCTTGACCTTGGCCCATAGGTTGTAGAGCATCACCTTCTGCTCGCGTGGTGACTCCGGTGTCATTTTCTGATTATTGAAGAAGCTAAGGAGATCTTGCACGCGCTCGGGTTTTGTGGACAAGTCCTTAGCGTTCTTGCCGTCCAAGCCAACAATACGCTGAAGGCTGTCGAGCAATTCCTCTGGCGATGTCATATTTTCTTTAGCTGCCGAATGAACAAAAGCTCGAGAAGAGGAAAGGGTGGGGCGGGTACTGTTCACTTGAGGCCATCGCTGCCACGACGTGAATCCCCCAATTGACATACGCCCAACTCGGAAGGCTGATGAAACGGGACGAGAGAGTGTGATGCAGCAACAGCAGCCGCTGCTGTTGTTGCTCGGGAGTCGTGCTAGCAGGCGCCCAAACAGACACCGCGACGCCATTACTATACACCCCCTCCTCCACTCCTATACGCCCTGCAAGAAACAGACAAACAGATACAGACCCACACACACACACACACACACACAGGCCAGCGGCCACACAGATACACACACCTTCTTTTTTTTCTTTTCTTCTTATGATTTCTTGCTGCTTTTTCTCCTCCCTCTCGGTCTGTTCGTTTGTCTTACTATGCAGGGCGCCGGAGCACCTTCGGTCCCTCCTCTTACGGTCGCGGGAATGACAACTGAAGCAAAGGCGGGGGAGACTCGAAGACACGACCAAAGCACACACACACACACACACTCACTCACTCAATCACAACCCAGCACTTCGCCCAATGAGCAAAAACAGAAAAAAAAAAGAAAGAAAACAATGAAAGACTTAAAACAAAAAAAAGGTCATAAATAATAGCAACTGTACATAAGTTTACACAAGGCGAGGTAAGATCATTTCTAGTCTTTCTCTGCCGTGTTTGAACAAGGAAAGAAGCAGCGCCATACGCCGCTCTTGCTGCTCATCTAGGGCAGCTCTATCCCGCTCCTCCGCCTGTATGACCGGCTCAATCAGGCGGGAGTAAGCAAGGAGTAAATTGTTTTCAAGTTCGACACCCTCTTCCCTTGCGTGGACTACAGCCTTCTTCCACTGCTTCTTTTCCTCCTCTAGGATGGCACCTCGTTCCTCACTCTCAGCCAATGAAACACGATGCTTCGCAAGTTTAAACGAGATAGGTTCATACCACCGCATGTCAATAAGAGAGATTGTCTCCAGGGCCGCCTTAGCACGGGCCTTACTCTCTTCAAGAGCACGACGGAAATGCTCGTCGTCAGCAAGACGAGAACGGGGGGACCTTTCTCGCGGCATCTTCGGCGTTAAGGGCGTGGCGGCCCTCGTTGGTGCTATTCCTGTTGCCGCTGGGTCGCCATCTACCAGCGTGCGCTGGTCATGAGGCAACTTGGTAGGTCGCGCAAAAACGAGCGATGTCACACCATCTGCCCCCTCGTCCGATCCACCTCGCTTTTCGCACTCGTCGGGGATGTGCGATGGCTCCGTGTCTGGTGTCTCAGCTCTCTCCCCGATGAGGGCGTGCTGATCATAGTGCTGCACATAGCTGTCAAAATCGAGCACACCCGCCTTTTCCAGCTCCTCAAGAAAGGCCGTTCGCACAATCTCCCCATCAAGCCGCTTCTGCTTCTCCAGAATAAGACGCATCTCCGTCGTGAGAGCGCGGAACGTCTTGCGCTCCCATAACAGCAAATCGCGACGCACATCTACATAATGCCGGATAAGCTCTTCATACGGTGTACATTCCCCATCCAACGCCCCATTGCGCTGCCCATCAGTCTCAGCAAGGTCAGTACAATTTCCCTGGATTGATAATGCAGCACTCTTACTTATTTTTTTACGTTGTTGCTGTTGTTGCTTGACAGCAGACAAAGCCGAGCCTGCCGTAGGCGTGTTGGCGAAGACATGAGAAAGCCAAGCTGTTTCCTCCACGCGTTCCGCCAGCTCTGTCTTGTACGCGGACGAGGGATATGTGACAAGTGGCTCCGTGTCCACCGGGTAGTGCCTGCAGACCGCGTATGCGGCGGTTGGCGCGACGCCGCATGACGCTACATAATCAGCATTCATCAGGCGGACAACCGTTAGTGTCTGCTTTCGCCCTTCTTCCTCTCCTTCGGCAATCATATTGCGAGCGGAGCGCTCATCGCGCGTGATTACCTTCCGTGATGTGCGCTCCTCAACTTCCAGTACGCGGCGCACCTTCCGCGCGGCCTCTTTTTCCGCCATTGACGACGCGATAGCGGCAGCACGCCCAGCGGCATCCTTGCTTGTTGGCACACTGCTGCTGGTGCTGCCAGACCGGGAGTCACGCGGCATCAGCTTTGTGTAGGGGCAGCGCTGCGTAAAGGGATAAATGACAGGAGCCGGGAACACCTCTTCCGACAGTCTGTCAACGCATGCATTGTCGTCGTCTTCTTCTTCCTCCTTGTTGTTGTTGTTTCCGGGTTCGTTTTCACCTTCACCGTCTTCGAGAGCCGCGCCAGGCTGTGCATTGGGGGACCAGTGGGCAATGACATCGTACACTGTAGGACCGCTCGTGGAGGCGGGTGCGAAGAAGTTGTCCAGCGTGTCCTCCGCGTTCACATGCACGTCGAGCCGCAGCAACCTCACTTGTTGTGTGTTCCGTACGGCCGGCACAGATGTTCCCTCAGCGTTGATGAAAAATGCATCCAGTGTGCGCTTTGAGAGGCTTGGGTACCGCCGCAGCACACGAAGCATGAAGTCGGCCACCAAATCTCTCAACGTGGAGCTCTCGAGTGACGACCCCAGCGGCACAACGACATCCGCGGGGGTCCGAAACGCCTGCGCACCACGAAATCCCTTTCTGTTGCTGATGTTGTTACTTCTGCTGCCGTCGGAAGGAGCGGCGTCAAAGCGAACACAAAAACAAATGGGGCGTTTTTGTAGGTTCTTCTCAATGAGCTTACAGTGCTTGCGGGCCTCAACGACGCTAACTTCACACATCTTTACGGGAGACTACTAAGCTGGGGAATGACAGGCACCAGTAGAACGAGTATATGACCAGGAAAGAGTGACATGGTGGAATTATACATGATTTTCCATCAAAACATGACCCTGGAGAGACTTCTCCTGAGACTGAGACTGAGACTCAATACCAGCAATTACTTTTCAGAAGGGGACGCAAATAATTTCACACCTCAGCGTGTGAACAAAGAAGTCAAAGTTGGTTTCTTAAGTTATACAATAAGTTTCTCATGCAGACCCGTACAAATAGGCACTGTTGTCCCCCAACAAAATGGAGTTGGGGCTGCTGATGAGAGATACAGATGGAGCGAGGGACGAATGCGTCAGTATAGGGACAAAAAACAAACCGCACACACACAAGAAAAAAAGATGACACCAACTGAGACTCATTGCGCCTCCCACAGACGCAAGTACTTGAGCAGGTACACACCAGTAATGAAGCCAATTGACGCAAAGAACATAAATGCAATCCCCATGCCCTTGTCTTGATTTCCAGACGGGCCTCCCGAGAGCCGCTCCACAGCGATTGGAAACCCCACGTTGATGAGAATGTTGAATAGGAACTGCACAAGCACTGTGAAACTTGAGCCCCGTGCACGAAAAGCAGGTGGAAAAATTCCATGCGAAAGAGCCCAGAAAAAACTCCCCATGCCAATCTCAAAGAAGGCGATAAATATGGCGATACCAATGCTTGAGAAGACACGTTTTAATGTGTCTCCGGCACCCATAGGTGGAAACACAAAAATGCCAGTGAGTAGGCAAGAGGTTGACGTCACAAACACGGCACCAATGTACATAAAGTCAGCACGGTACTTGGATGATAGTGGGATAGACACGAGCACGACAGCAAAGTTCCACGCCATGATCACAAAATTACCTGTGAGAGGGGCCAGTCCCATCACACTGGTGATGTTTGGGGCGTAATTCATAATTGCATTGATACCCGTCATTTGTTGAGCAACGCACATAACGAATGAAGTGGTGAGAGGTCGTACCAAAAGACGCCATGAGTATTTCATTGTGTCTGAACCTGGATGCATATCACTCATGTTATCATCATCATCAACCGGTACGTTCAATGTGTCATTAACTGAGGCCCGCTCCTCTCTCACTGCTCTTGCACGGAGCCTTTGCTCTACCCATTGCGGGCTCTCCTTCATGTAGAGACCAGAGATCACTACGCAGACAGCGATGATGCTGGGTGGAATGCACAATCCCTGTCGACACAGCTGCATGTGCAAATCTGTAGAAAAGTCACGCGGATTCAGCACAAGCCCCATAGTTGCAGCGAGGAGGATTCCAAACGTGCACGCCACTTGAAAGAAGACGCCGACAAGTTGTCGGTGCTGCGCAGGCGCCATCTCCTCTACATACAGAGGAGATGCAACACAGAGCACCCCAGACGCCACACCGGCGAGGACACGACCAGCAATGACCATGACGTATTGGTCTGTGTACGTCGACACATGCGTTAGTACCGCCGCCACGCACGCCACGAGTCCAGAGTAGAAAAAAGTCTTTCGTCTTCCAGTCGCAGAAAGAATGACGCCAGCACAGAGCGATCCGAGACAACCCCCGGCAATCATCGCTGCGGCGAAGAAACCGTTTTGCACAGCCGTGTACCCCACCTGGCGCGTGCAGAGAGAAGCCTTGGTCTCCCACAGACAGTGATGAGCTCTTCTGCTGAAATCCACACCGCAATCCTCCAGCGCCAACCCCCTGCAGGTGTCACGACGGAAAATACAGCTGTTATTCTCCCATTCACATCGACCAGGAATAGATAAGAGACAGGCGGCTTGCGCGGTGATGGCGGAGCAGTCACGGCTGATCTTCACGAAAGTGTAGTACGGCCCAACGAAACCCACGCTGTAACCAAGAAAACTGCCAGCGATGACATGCAACAACACAATCTGAAGAACTTCCCACGAAAAGAAAGGTACGTCCACGCAATACGCCGTAGCAACCGGTTTTGTTTTCTTATCAATCAACAACCCTTCCTGATCCTCGCTCTGTGGGGTGACTGTCCGTCGCTTTACAGAATGCTGCTCCATACTTTTCAGTGGCACTGAAATTTGTCAATACGGAGATCCTTCATAGGGAAACCAAAATACAACAGTAAAGGAAAGGAAAGAGGGTTGAATAACAATATTATTATTCGTGTGTAGCCGATTATCCCGTTCGCTCCATCTTGTGCTCTCCTCCAGGAGCACACTAAGAAAAATACAACAGAAGAATGCATGGGGGTCATAAACATGGGCACATGCACGTCCCACATCCCCTGCAATCTCCCAGCAGGGAGCCGAACAATGACACTCACTACCGCAAGAAAAAGAAAGATGAAAGGTACTACCCGTGATGGGGAGGGCCAGTGCAGACGCATGTCAACAGACACAGCGAGAATACGAAAGAGGCTGACTGCACGTATGCGGACACACCTCTTTGTTTTGTTGATACACTCACCTTTCCATCGTTCCGAATTAAGACAAGCGCAAAAAAAAAAATTAGGAAGAAACACAGCACAATTTTGTAGCAGACGTCGTTTTTTCTATCATTTTCTTCTGAGTATTCCTTTTCTTAATGTACGGCGTGGTTGTTCTTCCGTGTGCTTCCTCCTCAGCTACCCTTCACCCCACTTTCCTTCATCATCTCTTGCTCCTGTGCTGTGGCTGTTGTCGGCGCCAACCGCTCTACCGTCAAAAGTACCGCGCCGCTCTCATCGCTCGCCGTTGTGCGTGTCGTGAAGTTCACCGACGGGCTGCAGAGCATCGACGATGAAGAACGAATCTCCTCCCCCATATCAGACACATCACAGGAGGGGTGGAGGCTGCTGCTCGCCTGCCGCTGGTGTGCAGAAAGGACCTCCTTTGTGTGATCGCGCAGCGACGACAAATTCTTCAAACATGTATACGTCGGCGTCTGCAGACCAGAGCTGTCATCCGAGGCAACGGAGGGCCCGCGGCGGCGCATCTGATGCTCCATGGAGAGGAGGCGTCGCCTTGCTTGGCGGAGGTCCTCCTTTAGCTTTGACGCGCGGGCGCGATCGAGGAAGGCGGCCTGCTGGATGCCCTCTAGACTCTCCCCCAGCTTCGCGCAGAGCGCCTCATTCTTCGCGCTAGCCTGCACCGCTACGGCGTGCTCGCGCAGCAGATCATTCAGCTGTCTCTCCAGTCGTATGACGGCCTCGTGTGTGGCGGTCGGTGATGACACGACACCGCTGGCCGCCTCGTGGGGTGACAACTTCGGCTCCCCCGCGGCGGCGCTCCCCTCGTCGAAGTTGGCTGCAGCGTCGCCCGTCGCGTCGAATGAGCATTGCTTGAGGCTTGCCAGCTTCATTGCAAGCACGTCAAGATAGCTACGACGTTCCTTCAGCAGCTCACGCTCCACCTCGGCCTTCTTGTTGACAACCTCCACCAGCTTCTTCTGCAGCTGCCGCATCAGGGACTCCTGCTCCTGTGCCAACTGACTCTCCAATTCTGTCTTCTGGCCGCGAACCTGGCTGATTTGGTCCATGATCTTATGGCGTGAGAGTTCCTCGCGGCGAATCAGAATGCGGAACCGCCGACGCTGTTGCTCCTCACTCTGGAGCCGCCGAAGAAGTTGGTTTGCCAGCTTCTCCTCCTCAATCTCGGTGCTTTGCTGGAAGCGAACAGACTCTTCGCAGAGGGCACCAATTTCCGCTTGCAATGAACTTGATTCTTCGCTGAGCGTGGCGTTCGTCTTGCGCAGGTGCACGAACTCTTTGCGCAACTCATCATCTGTCAATAAACGTACAGGGCGGTCCCGCTCGTGCCGCGGTGTGACCGGCGCGGAGGCTCTTAGCATATCCTTGTCCCTACGTTCTTCTTTCTTTCGCTTCTTATCACTCCCTTTCTACTGCTACTTCTACAGTGGTGTTTGTCGTACCGCGTATCGGCAGACCCTTCAATGCAGTGACTCTGGACTGCGACGCGGATTCAACGCGTGAAGCAAAAACCCCAAAAGAAGAAAACAGCAAACAAAAACAAAAACGTATAAACAAAACGAGTTGCACGACGGAGAAGCAAATCGAGAAGAGAGACACGTGCATCGCCGCATGGTGGTGGTGGTGCTGCTGCTGCCGTCGTGACACAGGGCGCAAAACCCAACAGAAAGAACTCCCATTAATGTCAAAACCTCAGCGTTGCCTGACGCAAGCCTCCGCCCTCCGCCGCCTTTGGCTGCTTCTGCTGCCGCAGTGCCCCGCCACCACGTGGAGCGCCGCGACTCTGCTTTGCCTCCGCCGTCGCCGCAGCAGCAGTAGTAGTAGTATTAGTTGTTGTTGTTGTGGCTGAATTGGCAGGGCCAACAACAACTTTGGCGCCACTGCTCGGCGCCGCCGATACAGGCGGCAGAACGCCCGACAGAAATGAGTAGCGATCAAAGTAGTGCACCACGTTAGCCACGTCGGCGTACGTGACGGTCTTGCGCCTCTGCCGCTCCGCATTGGCTGCCGCAAGTCGTGTCAAGTCTTGCAGCATCAAAACAACCGCCTCAGAGGCCACCACACCCGCATCTCTCGCCACGATGGACGAGGCACTGTGAAACTTCAAGAGCTCCTTGATGCGCGAGAGTGGGAAGGCGAGCCTATTTCCTTTCTCAGAAGCAAAGTTGCCGTGGTCTTCATCATTCTCACCCTCATCGTCCGACTGAAATCCATCCACGTCCACTGCATTATCATTATCATCATAATGAGCATCGATATTCTCATCATCGTCATCGTCATCATCTCCAACCAGGAAGCCGGCTGTGAATGTTGCTTCGTTATCGTCACGATGCTCCAATTGTTGTTGCTGCTGCTCTTCATCAGCCTCTTCATTGTCCCACAGCGCCCCACCCCGCCCATTCTCCTCGTTCATCACCTCTTCCGTGCCGCCAGGAACAACAAGCGGCGCAGCGTTGCCGTCGGTGAAGACCGCATGGAGTGGCGTGAGGAACGCCGCCGCCTCGTGGTTCTCCGCCGCCGTCTCCATTTCCCCTCGCCAAACAGCTGTTATGTGTTACCTATCCGCACTATCTTGTTGTTTGTTCGTTTTTTTCTTTTTTGGTTTTCCACCTTCCACAATCAGACGGGGGGAGCACGAATCAAATAGAAGCTGCAAGGCACAACAAACAAAGAAAAAGCAAACCTTCACTCCTCTGCACAAGCGCACACGTTAATACCAAGAGAGAGAGAGAGAAAGGGGGACTGATCCATATATATATATATATTCTTTTTTATATAGGTCTGTGTGTGTATCTGCGCAAAACTGAAATATGGAGTGAAGATAACGCTGGCAATGTGTTTTATACTCAACGAGAACATGAACCTAAACGACAACAGCACCAAGGCATACCTCGTTGGGTCTTTCACCTACACGTACATCTCAACACACAGACACACACACACACACACACACACGGACTCCCCAATGACGTGGAGGTGCCGCTGACGGAGGCCTGCCGCAGGAATGGGCATCGTCAGCCGAAGCACCAGGAAGAAAGAAGAAGAAAAAGAAGAACAACAACAAAAAAAAAGAAGCGGAAGAACGAGGAGAAACACAATAAGAAGAAATCTGTGTGTGGTGGTACCTCGGTTCTTCTGTCCCCCCCAATACACGCGTTTGAGGAGAGGAGCCAAAAAACAAAGTCAAAACAGAAGGGGAGTTTAAAAAGGGGGAAAAAACAACAGAAGAAAAAAAAANGCGAATGCCAAAGAAAACAACAAAAAAAAAAAGACCTCACTGCAGATTGCGAAACAACATCGTCCTATACAAATGGTGTGTGATGTGACTTTCAGACTACACAAGGTGAGGGGTAAAAAAGTACCCCCACGCTGCTGCCGAAAGCAAGAAGACAAAACAAACAAAAAAAAAAGATGGAAATAAATAAACAAACGCAACGCTGCAGGAAAATGCCCATCGTTCCTACAAAGGTCAAGCGACGGGTGGAAATGGGACTTCATCTAGAAGAACAAGCTTACGGAACAAGAAGAGACAAACTATGGCGGGAAGTAGAGTGCATTGGGACTACAGTGCACACTTGACGCAATAGAAAGCGGTTACAGTAGTACCCTTCATATCTATCATCCTCATTTGACTCTGGTTTCAGAAGAATATGTACTCCATTTGCGATGTTCCTAGACATATAGGTCTTCTGCTATTCTTTTCATGGTGGCTATAAGGGGGGGGGGGGGAATTTCTGTTGTTGTTTGTTGCTATGACTACAAAAAACAAAACATCAATTTCCGGTTCAATGGAGGAAGAAGACGTCACCGTCTCCATCCCCTTTCTTCGTTTTTTGAACACATTAATTACACCCAACGCCCAGCACCCAGCTTCTCTGTTGTTTGGAGACACCTGGAATGCAGGTAGTTAATAAGAAAACACGCTTTCTCACGAACACCGAAGTACGGAGTGGCCCAACACATGTCACCCTCAGCGGAAACTCCCACCTAAATTCCCTTTTGAAGCAGAAACGGGAGCGATAATCGTCGTACATCATGGCAGGAGGAGTGCTATTAGAAGTACTCGCGATTCTTGCTGCGGGGTAGATGATATTTATGTGTGAGTGTGTGTGTGTGTGCTATCGCACTTCCTGGCCGCATGTAACGGACTGGTCTTCAAGCCAGTGAAAAAGCATTGAGGCCTTTCGGCTGCTCACAACCGCAGGGGAAACTTGCTCATAAGACACAGATGTTGTGTTTGTCGAAAACCTCTCTGCCTCCCACACTGTTTCCGCTGACAAGAGAGTGCTCGAAGGCGGAGCACACATCGACAGCGACAGTTGAAGAAGACCGATTTTGTCATATTGGAACTGACGGTGCGGCGACACCCCACTGTGCAGAGCCACCTCGTGATCGTGGACGAGAGGCATTCTGCGAAACGATGGGCAGCAGCTCTCGTCGGAGATGCGCTGACTCACACTTGCTGCACCAATGACGTTCGGCGTCTTGCGGAAGCGGTGAGGGACCGGGTCGCTGTAGATCTTCGGGGAGCCAAGACCTGACTGCGAGCTGCTTCCCCCTTTTCCTGAAGCCTTCAACGTGGACCGAATGGCAGAGATTAGAGAGCCTCTGTGCTTTGGTGCTTTGCCGTCCGCCATGACGAACCTTATTCCTCCTTTCTTACACTTTCACGCTTTTTATGATCCAGCGGAAACACTGGGGATGCGGGAGACAGGAGAAAGCCAAAAGAGAGAGAGAGAAAAAAAGGGGGGAAAAGGGGAAACGAAGCATATAAAATACTCCAGGAAGAGAACGGTCTCTCGGTATTCCAACCTCTCACTCGTCACGAGGCACGCCAACGCGTCATACTCAAAAAACAAAAACAAAAAACAGAACGAAGGAATAATGTGCACCCCTCGTCTGCCTTGTCTCTTGTCTATCTGTGCTCTCACAGAGGTTTGCACGTGATGCGTGCCTCAGTAGTCCTCATCCTCCAGCATGATGGCTAGGAACTCGTCCAGGTTGATCTCTCCGTCCTGGTCCGTGTCAAACTCGTCAATCATAGCCTGCAGCTCCTCGTCGGTCATGTTCTCCCCGAGCTCTCTGGCCACACGGCGCAACGAACGCAGCGAAATCTTCCCCGTGTTGTTCTCATCAAACAACTGGAAGGCTTTGATCATCTCCTGTCGCGGGTCTCGCTGCGCGAATCGCTCCGTCATCAAGTCCGTGAAGCCAGCCAAATCCATGAGCGGCTGGTTGTGCTGGTCACGTGCAGCGCAGTCTTGCATCATGCGCAGCACCTCCTCCTTCTTGGCGTCAAAGCCCAGTGCCCGCATGCTCACCTTCATCTCGTGCACATCGATGAGGCCGTTCTTGTCGGAGTCGAAGAGCTCGAAGGCCTCGCGGATCTCTTGCCGCTGCTCGTCCGTAAGCTCGAAGCGGCGTTTGCGCGGCAGTGCCGCGGGCACAGCGGTGCGGACGGGAGCTGCCAAACGACCGCCAGCGGCACGTGACGCTGACATCGTGGAACGAGCGCAAAGAGCGTGAAAAAGGAATGAAAGAGAAAAAAATGTATCTTTTTTTTTTTAAGAAAACCACTCTTAGAACCCAGAACGGGAGAAGAAAAAAGGTTCCTTCAATGCTGTGACACGCTAGAGGATCTAGAATGCTACGAGGTACAATTACGCGGTGCTTACACTCTCTTTTTCTCTATATACCAATGTATGAAATGATATCCTTTCCTTGCCCTTTCTTGCAGCCTCGCTGCCGGAACCAAAACAGCAAGAGCAGCACCAGGGAAAAGGAACAACAAGAACCAACAAACAAGAGGGAAACTTAGATCAACAAGAGACAGGCAGAGACACATACAGACATTGACTTAAATGAACAAGCATTTCATCACGTTTCGAAATGAAATTCACCGCAAAACAACAACAGCCACAAGAGGTGTTTCCCCTCTGAAACTAAATGAATCCTCATGGAGGGCGATACAACGGAGAGGCCTCCATGTACCCCGTCCATGCTAGGATGGGCAAAGAAAAGTACACGGAACGCCAAATTGCGCGTCGCTAAATCAAAACCAGCGTCCAATACGCTTCTCAGCGACAGTGAACGGCTCCACAGTGATCGTGTAACGCGCCGTGTTATCTGTGTTGTCCGCCACATCACTTAGCGTTGCATTGTGGAGGTCTGCCTTGAAGAAGAGCGTGACGAGGAAATCAAAATAGGTGTCTTCGTCTTTGAGGGTGATTGCATGCTTTGTCTGCTGCATATCCACATAATCATAGACCTTGAGCTGCCCATTGTATGGTGAGAGGCCCAGATACTTGCTGAGGTCAAACAAAGTGACCCCCAGACTAAACGGCACAACCATGCGCTCCTCTTCCTCTGTGTCTCGTCGTACAACCACCATACGCCGCATCTGCTGCAGGAGGAGAAAGAACTTGTTGCGCAGTGGCTCGTCCATGTCGGCGAACTCCAGCACGCGGCCAGAGAAGTGATCCCTATTAAATGGGTCCAGATAGGCTGTCGTCCAGCAGTCGGGGTCCATTGCGATCAATGATGCATCATCCAATTGGAACTCCTTCACCAGGGATTGCCGCACCTTGGCGGGAACATCCAGCATATCCAGCATTTGATCTAGGATACGGGTGGCGCCATACTTTATGCGCACACGCGGAAGTGCATTAGGCGGCCTCTCATGTATCATCTTCCATTTCTCAAAGTACGCACGACTAAATAGGAGCAGCAGCTGATGCTCCTCCGCAGTGAGAAGACCGGGGTCGAGGTAAGCAGGGTCCATGTTGTGCCACATCACCTGGTCACAAAGCGCAAAGTATGGGCAGCTCTCCAACTTAGCACGCACCTGCGGATTATCCCAGAGATTCTCCTTGGGCTTGATAAGGCCCGATCCCTCTTGTACGGGCGGCACGTAATTCTGCGAGTCAACGCGGCCAGCATAGATGTTGCCGTAAAATGGAACACCACCGGCTGCGTGTGTCGCAGGTGTGCTTGGGAACGTGAACTTTCGTTCACCCTCCATAAGGAGCAGGCGGCGCGACTGGCGCAGCATCATCCCAAGCCCTCTATAATATTCCCACTTTTTTGGTGCCCCTCAGGTTATGCTAAACTAGACCTTCGTTTTCTCACTTTCCTCGTTGCGCCCGCATATATATATATATATATATATAGTAGTACGGGTACCAATAACAGGAAGGAGAGAATGAAGACAAGTGAAGCAACAGTGTTCTTACACCGCTTTTTCCCCTGCCCAAAGCTTGAAGAAAAAAAAAACACTCAACTCAAGGACCCAGGACTGGCTGCACCGCAAGCGAAGGTTTTTGCTCATACAACAACGATGTACTTCTCGTGTATTCTCCTTGTCGTGCTGCTTTGGCCCAGTATTCATATGTCCATTTCCTTAATATCTTCGTCTCCATGTGATCATTTCAATTGTCACGTTTCGTTGCCTTCTTTTGAGGAAGCCAATGTGCCTCTCCTATCTCTCTCTCTCCACATCTCCCTTTTGTATTTATTGGTCTCTTCCTGTCCAGCCCCCGCCCCCAATTTAAAAAGAATTCAACTATATTTTGTCTATTAATGAAATGCCTCTACCTCATACGCCTCTCTCAGACGTGTCAGGAGGCTGTTCTGCGCGCTGTCGAGGCGCAACACCCCACCGGCTGCAACAATCTGCTTACGCATCGTCGCCACCAGCTCCTTCGCGGTAGCGCGCTGCTCGTAGTCGTCCAGTGCCGCTAGAAAATTTTGCCGGCTCTCCTCATTGTGGTATAATTGAATCTCCCGCACCGGAAGCACGCCAGGGCTCGTCCCCAATACAACAAGCCCCTTTGCGGTGCACAGATCCCCAACAAAGAGCTGCTGGTGCTCAATCGGTGGAATTCCAACGGCAGCTGCCGCCCTTCGCACGGCCTGCAGCGTTATCCCAATAAGAATGTCCTTTTCCAGCGAGCAGAGGAGCCGATTGTCTGATGTCAGGAGGAGGTAGTTCGAGCGAGATCCCTCCGGCACGAGGAATTGTTCCGCCTTATCCCGCACCATTAGCACCTCAAACGCGTTTGTAGACTCCTGTAGAGCCTTAGCCCGTGAGCGAAGTTGGGTCTGGAGAATCTTTGCGTTCGGTGTGTGTCGCTGTGCATTGTACATCAGCGACAGCCGCGTCCCATCCACGTACCACTCCTCCGGGGGGAAAAAGGATTTTACATAATACAAAGCATAGGAAAAGTTGCACAGCAGCTCGCGTTGCTCCTTTATTTTGCTTGCCATGCTGCTGCGGGGTGGCAACCATGTGATGAATTTCAAGTTGACATCACCACCATCCCGGTGATAGGAGCGGATGTAATCCCTGATTTTTTCGGCCACAGCCTCAACCGGACACGACAACGCAGCGTATTTGCTATTGTCACTCGTGCTGTTGTTGTTGTGCTGCGTGTCCGACACGGCAACCACACAGCTCTCGCCTATTCGCTGGAAATGGTCCCTCTCGAACATCACGCATCCCTCGTGCACGCGCATCACATCGTAAACGAGTTGGAAATTCACCGTGTCCACA